TCCCGCCGCTCCAGTCCTCCAGGGTGAGAAAATCCCCGTTTGTAACTGCGGATCCGACATAAGTCGGATCCGCGTAACTCGGGGACTGCCTGTACTTAGTTCTCACAGAGCTACAATCATAGTTTACTAGGTGAGAGAGTGCAAGTCAGCTGCCAACACTGATATCTATATTTGCTCAAAAAGAAGAGCAAAAGCAGTAAGTTAACTAACAAGTTCACTAACTAAAATAATTTCCTGAAAAATTAACCGGAAACATTAATTTAGAACACAAACCTCAATGTGTTCATGGTTTGGTGGCACTGGGAAAAACTGAGGAAGTCTCTTGCTTAACCACATGGTAATTTCTCTGTTTGTATTAACAGCGAAAGGTTCATAGCCTTCTTGTAAGCCACATATAGTAAAATATTTCAGGGTGCTGACATCTTTGCCAAAGTTCATTCTTCCCACTTGAGACAAACCCAGGCTGCACACAGGTATAAATCCTGTCCAAAAGAAAAAGAAAGAATTTATGCATCCCATATATTATAAAAGTGTTTTCTTAACATATCCCAGTCTGAAATGGTTAGGGATAAAAATGTCTGTACAGAAAAAGGATAAACTCGTCTCCCCTATTTATTTTGGTCCTAGACAGCCAACACTCCAGTCATTTGAAGAAGTGGGCTGTGCCCATGAAAGCTTATGATACCAGCTACATGTTTTGTTAGTCTATAAAGTGCTACCAGACTATTTGTTGTTTTTTCAGTTTTCCAATAATAGTGTGAGGTATACTACCTTCCAAGAATCAGAAAGCAGTACACCTCTGTTGTTATTCTGAACACAAGGCTCTCTAAAAGGAGATGTGGCAAGAAATTATATCACATTCCAAATAATTCACTTCAGAAATACCAGACAGTACCTCAATGATTGCCTTACTGAACATGGGACCAAATTCTCTGCTTTTGTCAAGTGCTGTCATCGCTCATGATTTTACAAGTCTTATAATATTTGATTTTGCTCATCAAGCTTCAATTTAGAATCATGTTTATTTGCTTTTTTTTTTTAAACAAGAACCTCACCTTTCCTTTAAAAACAAACATTTTCCTAGCCCTGACGGCTGCAGAGAAAAAGCTTGAAAATTTGTCCAAAAGGTAATCTAAAGGTTCAAAAACCACAACAGCAAATAGAAAGTTCATACACTGATTTCTTGAAATCTAATTACTTTTAAATTATCCTTATGATATTTTAGGGCCAGATTCCAAGCGTATGAATGCCTAGGGTCCTTGAAACTTCAGTCAAGTTGACGGATGGAGGTGTCCCTATGTAGCATCAGGTGTAAAGTTTGTGGCACAACATTAGAAAAAGATTGGTCTCTCAGCTCTTCACTTCTAAGAGAAGACCCTATTTATTAGAGAATGAAATTCACAGCTGTGCAGAGTAACACCACTTGGAAAATTACATTTGAGCACCTCTGGTTGTTACATTCATGGTACTATTTTAGAATACATTTTCTTTTTTTTCTTCCATTCATCCTCCTTGTTCCCTTTCCATCTAACTATACTATATAAAATGTATTTGACTTGTCTGCTAAAAAAAACAAAACACCGCTATTAAGTTAAAAAATGCCAAAAAGATAATTTTCTCCTTGTCTCCCAAGAAGTGAAAATCTGGATCTTCCATTCCATTAGAGCTGAACAGAATCTAAGAGAAACTGGGAAGGAGAAATGGTAATGCTCAGCAGGCAGAACAGCTGGCCTTTCCCATTCTTTGGGATCCAGGAGATTAAGAATTTTGCAGGATGGGAAGGAGCAGACCCTGAATTCATGACATACTCTGTATACACAAGTAGAAGAATGTCACAGACAAAAGCCACAGCCGTTAACTCTGCTCTGCAATAGCCTCCAGACTTCAAAACTTCTTTTGAATATTTTATTACAGATAAGAAAGATTCACTGTCATTTACATGTGTGTTAAACAAGATAAATACAAGGCCAGAACCTACAAGCCACAAGACATTAGTTTGTAAGATAAATGTCTGGATTTCGATCTTCATGGCAAGGCTCTTAGTAACGAGACATCATTTTCACACACAGATAATGAGATTGCTCAGTCAGTATGATTCATGACTACTTTTTACTGCAAATCTATTGGTAAAATATAATATAGACCATTTCTCAGCAGAATACTAGAACTAAATGGGAAATCATATTAAACAATTTATAACAAGGAGTTCTATTTGCATAAATCAATATATATTTAAATTAATACCTGCCTAGCAGCTTAACTTAAAGCAAGCTAACATGAACCCTGCTGAGTACAATGAACCATGAATGACTGCAAATGGTTTTAGGCAAAGCCAAATTTCACAACTCTCTCTGCAGTAGGATGACAAATCTTCATGCATCACTCCAGAAGAATTGTTCTTGTGAGCAAATGTCCCCAGGGCAGTTAGTGTAGTTAGAGAATGGGTGTTCAGAGAAGCATAACATACCTGTAACAGCAAGAACCTCTGTAAAACAATTCATCGCTTTCATAGTATTCTAGAATCATAGGCTACGTCTACACTGCAGGGTTTTTGCGCAAGAAGTCTTTTGCGGAAGAGTTCTTGTGCAAAAACTTCTTGCGCAAAAGCACGTCCACACCTCAAAGCGCATCGCTTTTGCAATACGTTATTGCACAAGAGAGCGTCCACGATTCATGGACACTCTTGCACAAGAAAGTTCTGATTGCCATTTACACAATGGCCATCAGAGCACCTGTGCTTTTTGCGCAAGAAACCCCTGCAGAGCATCCACACATGCCTTTTTGCGCAAGAGCTGTAGTGCAAAAAGGAATTATGCCTCATAGAAGGAGGTATACCTATGCCACAAAAAAGCCCTCAGTTCTGTCGATTAACTGTAGATTTTCTTGTGCAAAAACACACTTGAGGTGTGGATGCTCCATGGGTTTTTGCGCAAAAACACCTTTTAGTGTAGACGTAGCCTCAGGGTTGGAAGAGACCTCAGGAGATCAACAAGTCCAACCTTTTATTAGGCACTGATGAGGGTACATCTGGAGTATTGTGTCCAATTCTGAGCCCCCAATATAGAAAGGATGTAGATGCACTGGAAAAAGTCCAGCGGAGGACAACAACAATGATTAGGAGGCTGGAGCACAGGAGAGACAGGGGGTATGTCTACACTACCCCGCTAGTTCGAACTAGCGGGGTAGTGTAGACATACCCCAAGGCATTAATGAAAATATTCAATACTACCAGCCCCAGGACTGACTCCTGTTGGACCTGGCTAAATACATCCTTCCAGTTTGACAGTGAACCATCTTGAGTATGGTCTTTCAACCTAGACGTGTGTCCACCTGATGGACATTCACCAAGACCACATTTCCCTATGAGAATGTCATGTAGGACTGTGGCAAAAATCTTACCAAACTCAAGATATATCACATTTCCTTCTTCCTCTTTATTCACTTGGCCAGTAATCCTGTCAAACAAGGAAATGAGGTTGGATTGGGATATGTTCTTTATAAAACATGCAGGCTATTCCGTATAACCCTATTATCCTCTTCATGCTTACAAATTGTCAGCTTAATAAATTGTTCCAGTATCTTTCCTGGTATTGAAACTTCTTTACTCTACAGAAGAGAAGAGTGAGGGGGAATTTGATAGCAGCCTTCAACTACCTGAAGGGAGGTTCCTAAGAGGATGGAGAGAGACTGTTTTCAGTAGTGACAGATCAAGGTTCAATAGTCTCAAATTGCAGTGGGGGAGGTTTAGGTTGGATATTAGGAAAAGCTATTTCACTAGGAGGGTGGTGAAGTACTGGAATGGGTTACCTAGTGAGGTGGTAGAATCTCCATCCTTAGAAGTTGTTAAACCCAGAGGAACTTCCCAAAGCAGGAACAACCCCAACTAAATCATCCCAGTCAGGGCTTTGTCTCCTTGAGTGCTCAATGGAACAGTGCAGCCCTGAATCATCTTCAGCATGAAAAAGTCTTCAAGTAGCATTTTATAGCATATAATATAGAAGACTCCTAAAACAACATACAATGTTTCACACAAACTTCATGATTTCATATTTTTAAATAGATTTCAGATTAAAATTTAAGAATGCATGCCATGTATGAGCATGTCAGACTGCACTTTTCGTACTGTACCTTCTGAGAGGAGCAGAATCGAATATGGCCCCAGGATTCTATTCTCAACTATTTCAGAAGTAATCTTGGCAATCTCTCAATTACTCTATCTGAAGGGGGAGAATAATTCTTGCCTAATTACTGAGGTATAGCTATGAGACTTGCTCAGTAATAAGGGCTGTGTAGTACACAGAACTGAGAACACTAGCTGGTGGGGTCTCCTATTCACACCTACCACACCTTCCTGAAGTAGAGAATGTAAATGGAATGTAATTGGGGTGGAACTGCTCTAGAAAGCTAGAGATGAAAATGAGCATTCCTCCTTCTTTTAGCACAGCAGGGGAAGCCGATGCAGGCATTTAGCATTCATTTGCTTTACTAATGCCACAGCCTACTAAAATATAAGCCAAAGAAAGTTAACTTACCCTGTTTTTAAAAGCTGTAATTTTAAAACAGCAGTTACATCCTCCCAGGGGTAAGTGCTCATGCTCTTGCTCACTTATTGCATCAACTTACTTACACAGGGTGAATATAGCACAGAAAATATTTACAGTAGGGATGAACACACACCATAGCAGACTACAGAACTGCAGTTTTTAATTAAGAGAGAGAAATAAGAATTTATTTTCATGACCCCAAAAAGTGTTGTTATGGTCAGCACCATGTAGCATGGGAACAAGACCCAAAAAGAAGAACCACTCTGGCTACCTGGCATGAATATGAGATAGGAAGTAGTGAATTCATACAAAGAGAACTTGATTCAAAGCTTATTCGATTCACACTGGGTTAAGGGATCTTTTGATCAGGCTCCTTCTCTACTCTATGAACAGCTCCACAGAAGTTTTATGACAATGTGCAGAGGAACTTGTGGTCCGGATAGGGACTTTGATTTATGTTTCTACTAGAACAGGGTCACTCTCGGTGCACTATAACTATTTAATATCATGCAGGGCTTGAGGAAGCCCATTGCCTCTTGTATGTCTGCAGAAACATCTCTCAGTGCTTCTTCAATTGTGTATCATAATATAGCAATTACTGACAGAATGAAACAACTTTTTGCTCTATTGAATATTTTGAGGGTGATATTCTATTGGGCAATACAACTGTTTCTGGTAAGCCATTTTAGATATTAACTACTGTATGTATCATTCATAAAAACAGAATGCACATTTTAAAAATATGCAATAAATAAAACCCAATCTCGATTAACAGGGACCAGTCAAGTTGCAGAGTTTTAAAATTCAGTCTCGCAGTTTTATTTTAGTTTGTGGGTATGTGTATCTAATCACATATTGCTGCTTTTTGTATTGAATTATTTTAAACAACCCACTTCATTATTTACTTTTATGCTGACTGTAACTGTTAGCACACAGACTTCCTTTTATCCTACAAGGAGATCAACAAAAATATGATATTTCTAACATGAATATGCCAATGGCTTTCTTGTAAACCAGTATCGTCTACGATGATGTGCTTCAATATATTTAGTGCATGACAATTAAACTTTTCAGTGACTTCCACTGTACATTTCACTAGCGCTCAAGATCAGCATCATACAGTAAATTATTATATTTCCACTGATGCTCTCCTTTCTGCCCATGAAGTTCTCAGCAAAATGAGAGAAAGCAAACCTACTGTGTAAAGCGATGTTGAAGTTCTTCTACCTAGTAAACTATGCTATGTGTTGGGATATGTAAAAATTAATAGGGGCCTAGGATAGTGGTAAGGAGTTTAGCCACAGTAGGCATTATCCTTGAACATGATTTTTCCCTTTGTTTTTGCAGCCTAGAAAAATAGATAAGTGTGCAGCTGCTCCTCTTTATTGTGTCTTTTATCTACCCTCACTGGCTCTGTATAAATATTTCAGGGTTACTTTTCTTGTAAGCTCTGTAACCTGTTGATTTGGAAAGTTTGTAGCACAGAATAGTGCTGATTTAATTAGAAATTCTGTAAATAGTAATTAGGGGCGGGTATAATAATATTCATCACCTGCTTATTAATATTCATTTTATGGGAGTAAACATTACTAAATAAGGTTTTAGGAAAAGTAGTGATGGACATGTGAATTAACATACTAAAATAGATTAAAGAGTGTAATTGGTGCCATGTTGCTGCCACTTGGACATGGTGTTGGATGTTCGAGGTAAACATGCCTGGGCACTAAAGCAGTTCCATATACCCCATCCACTCCTGAGTCGCCTGTTTCTTCTCAAAGGGTATGTCTAGACTACATGCCTCTGTCGCCAGAGGCATGTAGATTAGGCTACCAGATATAGGAAAATGAAGCGGCGATTTAAATAATCGCCGCTTCATTTAAATTTACATGGCTGCCACGTTGAGCCGACAAACAGCTGATCAGCTGTTTGTCGGCTCAGCGCAATAGTCTGAACGCGCGGGTGGTGACATCAAAGGTATCTGTCGACCACCCAGGTATACCTCATCCCAGGAGGCATACCTGGGTGGTCGACAAATACCTTTGATGTCGACACCCGCGCGTCCAGACTATCGTGCTGAGCCGACAAACAGCTGATTAGCTGTTTGTCGGCTCAGCGTGGCAGCCATGTAAATTTAAATGAAGCTGCGATTATTTAAATCGCCACTTCATTTTACTATGTCTGGTAGCCTAATCTACATGTCTCTGGCGACAGAGGCATGTAGTCTAGACGTACCCTAACACTATGCACATAGTAATGGGAAATAGCCGTGTTAGTCTCATCTTGCTAAAACAAAAGGAAAAACTATATAGCACTTTAAAGACTAACAAGACGGTTTAATAGGTGATGAGCTTTTGTGGGCCAGACCCACTTCCTCAGATCATATTCTGGAAGAGAATTGGCATGGCCATATATACCAAAGGAATACAATGAAAAAAGTGAACACATTATTAAACTGACAAATTAGATTCAGTATAGAAGGTGAGATGTGGGGGAGGGAGGGAATAGCTATTTGAGTCAATGAATTGCTAATCAACGGTGATAAGTGGGAAGCTATCTTTGTAATGGTTAAGGTAATAAGTATCTTTGTTAAGGCCCATTCGTAAAGTATCAAATTTAAGCATGAAAGAAAGTTCTGAAGTTTCCCTCTGTAATCTGGTGTTAAAGTCTCTTTGAAGTAAGATGCATGTAGTAAGGTCGTTACGATTATGTCCAGGTAGGCTGAAATGAAAAGCAACTGTTTTTTCCTCGTGAAGATGTCTGATGTCTGATTTGTGGGCATTAATTATTTGGCGAAGTGTCTGAGAAGTCTGACCAATATATATAGCAGAAGGACCCTGTTGGTACATGATGGCATAAATTATATTTCTGGATGAACAGGAATATGTTGCATTCCCATCTGCACAGGCACACATCCCAAAGAACCAGTTAAAAGGCCGTCAACCCACAATAGGCATAGTTTACGTACAAAAGCGAGTTAACAGCACAAAGCACGCAGACACTTACCATCACCAACCTCAAAGTCCTTAAATGCAAGCTCTGAACCTGAGTCATCAAGCAGGATTTCACCGTTCAGGGTGAACATCATGGTGTGCTCATTCATGTCAACCATACATCCCACGACATCCCCTGCCAACCAAGAGCGGCCGAAATGCTCATTACCCTGGTGCCATCGCTGGGCCTGAAAGGGATTTAAAAGAATAAATACAATGAGAATATTTCTCTCCCCCTCAGTGATATGACTAATAATCATCTCCCTCAATACTTTTTCAGCAACTCATTCTGCAACAGCACCAACAAATATCACAATTAGGCTCTGAGAGTAATAATTCTACAATTAATTTTGTCGAAGCACTTCCAATGAACATTGTAAAATGAGTCCCAGTGAACAGAGAAGTAAATTGCTATCTCGGCACACTAGTAACACATGTAAGAATACTTTTTATTTTTATTTGGTGAAAGATCTACAAAAGATCTATAATAAAAATAATATGGCTGCAACTGCAAAATAGCTGCTTCATAGTATTTTTTTGTTTCATTATTCTCACGCAATCTGCTTGGCCTCTAAATTTTATGCTTCCAAACAATCTTTAAAATATGTCATTCTAAATGCATTTAGATAGATTTATGTAACCTGCCTGACTTGCTCTCTAGGGACCTGATCCTGCACGGTGCTGTTTCTACTGAAGAAGCTGAGGGCATTGTTGCCCAAGGACTGGCTCAGCATATTGCAAGTTTGAATGGCTGCCCTTTGTTGTGGAATTCGCATAAGAGCACAATCTAAATAAATACATGAACATTCTTACAAAATTTACCAAAAAAATACCCCCACCAAAACAAACAAAAACCCAGGATCAATGACTTAACTAAGACACCCATTCCATCAGGACTACATTTCTGGCCGGTAGTCCCTCGTCAAAAGCCTGGGAGAAATGAGAGCTTTGTGGCATGCCCTGAAATGCAACAATCTCAAGCTCTCTCTGACCAATGGGGGAAATGAGAACTGAGACTCAGAACTGAGTCTCTTCTAAATAAAATGGAAAGTGTTAATTCCCAAATAAACTGGAAAGTGTAAATTCCAGCACCTCAGCTGGTCTCAACTGCTGTGGTACTGCAAGAGGTTAGAGACATTCTTAAAAGGTAGTTACAGCTAAAATCCTTAAGAAATGTATTCGTCAAAAGCAACGTCTTATACAGTACCAGGAAATGAGATGGGACCCAGAACAGAACAGAACACACAGCAAAGGCAAAATGTGTTTCCTGCAAGAAATAAAACTAAAAAGTGGGTTAATATCCATTACATTAATCTTACCAAAACAAAAGGTATTACTAAAATCCCATTACTGGCTTACAGATAGATTGAAGTTTTTACCTGAGATTGCATTTGCTTGTAACATTGCCTGATGCCACAGTTTATACCTAAAACAGGGCAAGGAGAGGCATTCGTGCTGTTGCTTTATGTGTTAGTGCTCTTATACAGTTGCAAGGGAAGTACCAAGGTCTCAACTCAAGATTTGGCAGCAAAACTGATTCTCAGTTTATTATCATTTCAAATATATTCTGTGCCTATTTTCTGCTAATGATAGAACACAGTGAATGGTTATTTAATTTGATCAGTGGTTTAAAAAATTCAGACTTTTCAGTTCAATATTAATGCATCTCAGTTTGGATCACACTACACTGTCAAATAGAAATGCAATAACAACAATAAAATAGGATTGAGGTAGGGTTGGCTTGACAATCTGGGTTTCTGAAAATTGAGTTTGTGAAGAGTAATGCTAATTTCTGTCAAGTGTTATAACAATAAGATAACTGAATTCTAACTCCAGATACAAAATGCATTTGCTATACGTTTTTGTACTAAGACATGAGTCACCACTAGTCTACACAGAAACTATTATCATGGCAAAAGATTTCACATTCTAGCCAGGCTTTAATGAGTCATTTTACTCTTGTGAACAATCAAAAACCTGTGGCATAAAAAATGTTCTGCTGGTCTATATATTCCCATACAACTAGATTTCAATCTCTTGTTGTTTCTATCATATTCAAGTTGAAGCTAGAACTACATTTTCTCATTAATATGTGCTAAATGCTGTCAGCGATTCTGCATTAAAAATTTGTTTTCATTTTCATAACTCTGATATTCCTGTAATTTTACACCAAACTCAGTCTAGTGCGATTACTGCTGACAATGAGAATTACACTCTCTTTCCTATGGATAATTCCGATAGAGAGAACATTGCACTAAGATTCAGCAGAAATGGGTTCTAATCTCAGTTCTTCTGGTGACTTCACTTGTATTGATTAAATGATCTATGCATCAAATGCTAACCAAATTTCGTGCATTTTGAGTTTTTCGTTAAGCGTTATGAACGTACCAAGTATTATTACTATATTTTTGCCACGTAATACTGTTCTATATTCTGAAATATTTTACCTTTCATTCCACACAGACTAGATTCTTAGTATTTTCCAACACTGAAACAAATGCTCAAGTGCTGAAAGATATTAAGCTATTAAACTATAATAGGAAGAAAAATTAAGTGATTTTTGTATCCTGTCAAAACAAACATATACAAACCTTGAAGCCATCAAAGACAAAAGCTTGCTCATCTGAACCAAGTTCTTGGTCTGGTTGGCAGCCTGGTCTGGTCCAGCCAACTCTCATGTCTCCTGCAGTGACCACCTCAAACTCAAAGTACCATTTTCCAGCCTTCACTGCATAAGTCTTCTCAGTGCGGAATATCCGAAATCTTTCCATTATCCCACTGTACACATCTAACCTTGTAGCTGCAAAGTTTTTAAAAAAATCCTTATGTTTATCTGGTAACAAAATGAAAGTAATGAAAATAAAAGGCAATTACTACTATGTTTGTATAGTATCCATGCCTCTTAACCTTACTGAAAAACATTATGAAGTAGATAATGTCAATTAGCAATGATTTACCATATACCATGATGCTGTATAGTCAAGAACTGAAGTTCAGAAAGCTCAATTAATTGTGAGATAGTGGCGCTATCAATGTCTGTTAATGCACAAGAAAATACCATAGTTTAATAGATTTTAATGACAGAAGGTTCACTACAATCATCTACTCAGAGCTCCCAAATAACACAGACTACAGAATTTTTACCCAGTAGTTCTACTTCAAGCCCATATTGTAATAGGGTTGAGATATATCATATATTTTAGAAAGATATCCCATCTTATTTTAAAGATCAGAAGAGATGAAGTCTACACCACTTTCCTAGATAAATTGTTCCAAAAAGTAATTATACCTCACTGTGAAAAATGTACTTTATTTCCCATTTGAACGTGACTAACTTGAACATCCAGCCTTTGGATGTTGTTACAACACACATTGCTAAATTAAATCCTCTACTATCAGAAATCTTCTCCCCTAATTAGTTCTTCTAACTGTGATTACATCACTACGTAAATCTCTCATTATAACACAGCCGTACAATATTTATTTATTAATATGACCCCTATCTACAGTTATATGTCCATAGCTAAGGACACTTGGATCATAGCATTTAAGCATCCTTTTTCTGCAGTGGGAAGAGTGGGGAGGAGGAAAGGATGTACTTATATCAAGGGTGAGCAATAATTTTGACCAGGGGTCACTTCAGACATTTTTGAAGTACCCCCAAGCTGCCCTGGAAAAGGTGGAGCCTCAGGCAAAAGGGAAGGGGCCAGGACACTTCTGTGATTCCCTGCAGCTGACTAAGTGCCGAGCCCCTTGCAGGGCGGTAAGAGACTATGCACGCTCCCCCTGCTCCCAGACCAATCAGGGTTTGGGGGTGAGGAGAGCATGTGAAGTCTCCGCCAGCCCTGCACCCATCCTGATTGACCTGGGGGTGGGGGAAGCACAAACACTCTCGCTTCCTGCCCTCCAGTGCACAGCACTTACAGTCAACCTCCAGGGTTGACTAAGCGCCACATGCTCCCCCATCCCTAGGCCCTGAATGGCCTAAGAGCAGGGGAACATCAGGTCCTCCACGGGCCAGATCAACCTACTTGGCGGGCCAGATCCAACCCGTGGAGGCTCTTTTGCCTTCCCCTGATTTATATGCATGAGTCTTTAGCAAACAGGCACCAGATGACCACACTTCTACATTAGAAAAATGATATCAACTTCTGAGAAGGAGAAAGAAAGGTCAGTGAGTATGAAAAAAAAAGATGCCCTTTCAAATACAATGTAGGACACATAACGATCATTCTTACTATAATAAAACTTGACTGATGTGAAGCTCAGTGGGTGACGTGATATCTTTTTTTGGACCTACTTCTGTTGCTGAGAGAGACAAACTTTTGAGATTACATACCGCTCAAGGCCATACAATGTCCAAGGATAAAAGAAAAATCAATGTATGATATTTGAAATCAGACCCAAACAGGTATTTATAAAATATTGCTGGACACTGAAATAATATACAAAATTTCAATGAATAGACTATCCTTATTTAGTTTCCATCCTTGGTTTACGTGCAAATACCAGTAGGAAAAAACCAGCAAAATCTGGCAACCCTGCACATTGGAAACAGTAAACAAAATGTCTCAAAGGCCACAAATGGAACCTCACTGTGCTGCAGGTTGCCCACCAGTCACCTAGAACATTTGGGATGCCAATAGACATAAGAAACAACAACTTATAAGGACACAGCTGAAAATATTCCACCTTGTCAACCAAGCCTCTAAAAAAAAATATCATGAACCAAAATCCAGAAAACCACTAGAGGTCTCTAAATCCTTTAAAAATCTTTTATAGAATTGGAATGATGAAGAGGGGCTTCCCCCAATGTGCAAAAGGAAAACATCCTACATCATACAATAAAACCTGAGAAAGTAATAAATCTGCAAAACAATCACTGTATATTTCTAAAGATAACTATAATATAGTAGTATAACTCCATCACTTCCTAGTTTTGTCACAAGGTTTTCCAATATATTGAACAAATTACTTAGAAAAAATGCTAGTTTATTCTTCATTCGTTTGCATTTATTTAATACTATTATTCAAATTGTATTTATTAAGTCTAGGCACTAAATTAAGCATTGAATACAAGAGCACAAAAGCTAAGTAATATGCAAGCAGAAACAGCCAATTCAGTATGAACATAATACAAAAACTGAAAAAGGGGCCAGTTCTACCACACTTTAAGCACCTTAGGGCTAAAAGCGTGTGTGTGTGTGTGTGTGTGTGTGTGTGTGTGTGTGTGTGTGTGTGTGTGTGTGTGTGTGTGTGTGTGTGTGTGTGTGTGGCAGAAGACCCCAAAGAGGGGAAATCACACCTCAACATATACCACAGAATAGTCCTTCATGGCAGTATACATTTCCACAGTACACTGGAGAGGAGGCAATATCAGGGGTTTAGACAATGCTTATACACCAGAATGGATTGATGTGCTCTCAACCACAACGTACTCTAAAATAAATACAACAGAAAGTTTTTGACAGGGTGAATTGAATATAAAATGACCTTATTTCACCTCATTTAACATACCGTATTTTCCGGCGTATAGGGCGACTGGGCGTATAAGACGACCCCCTATCTTTTTAATTAAAAGATAGGGTTTCATCTTATACCCCAGCGCCCTTCCGCCTCCTTTGCTCCCGGTGTCCCTGGTCTGCTGGAGATGGTCCCCAGCAGACCAGAGGCACCGGGAGCAAAGCCGCCAGGAGCGCCTGGGGTGCCCCCCCGCCGGCTTCCCCCGAGGCTTTCAAAGCCGCGGAGGGGCTCCGGCGGGGGGGCAGCCCATGCGCGCCTGGGATGCCCCGCCGCCGGCTTCCCCCAAGGCTTTCAAAGCCGCGGAGGGGCTCCGGCGGTGGGGCATCCGGCGTACAAGACGACCCCCGATTTTTGGGGGATGTTTTTTAACTTCAGAGGTCGTCTTGTACGCCGGAATATACGGTATTCTTAAAAAACCCTTTTCAATATTAAGGTATTTTTCATAATCTTCTCCATTTCAGCAGGCTCATATATTAATTAGAAACACATTTTTATGTGCATCCATATTCTTCATGATAATATCTTTATGCTGCAACCTCCTGCACATTTTATTTACACTATGAACAGAAATATTTGGTGTGTGTTCCTGTGGGTAATGTCCAGTCTTTGTTCTTGGTGGCCTCATATGTACTTTGACCTCACCTACTTCCCGATCACGACATCTTGTTAGCTACCCTGCAGTGTCAGTGAAGGAGAAATCTCAAAGCAGTTTCTCTCTGTATTTTTAGAGAGAAAAATGGAGGTAATCAGGAAATTTCTCTTGGCACTACCTCTTCCATTGTCAAGATTTCTTGCATACACCCAAGTCTTACAAATTGAGTTTAAGAAATGCTTTTTTCTCATGATTCCTTTTTAATAAGACCAAAAAAAAGTTAACTGAGACCCGTGAGTTTCGTTCTACAATTCTACCACAGACACACAGGCCACACACCTTGAAAAAATAATCCACTTTCAGCACTGATTCAGTCCACTGCATATCTGAGAGTACCATTATTAAAACGTAGGCAAAACTAAATATTTAAGTGTAGCTAAATTCAACAGCATGCCTTGTACAATAGCTATTTAATGAGCATTGGTAGTGAAGCGGTGTTGTATAGTACATATAGCAACTCTCAGTTCTTACCCCCAAAAGAATATGCAGTCTAATACCAGTAGGAAAAAAATGATCTAATGGCATGTTCCAGACTCCAGACATTTAGGCTACGTCTAGACTGGCATGATTTTCCGCAAATGCTTTTAATGGAAATACTTTTCCATTAAAAGCATTTGCGGAAAATCATGCCAGTCTAGACGTAGCCTAAATGTCTGGAGTCTGGAACATGCCATTAGATCATTTTTTTCCTACTGGTATTAGACTGCATATTCTTTTGGGGGTAAGAACTGAGAGTTGCTATATGTACTATACAACACCGCTTCACTACCAATGCTCATTAAATAGCTATTGTACAAGGCATGCTGTTGAATTTAGCTACACTTAAATATTTAGTTTTGCCTACGTTTTAATAATGGTACTCTCAGATATGCAGTGGACTGAATCAGTGCTGAAAGTGGATTATTTTTTCAAGGTGTGTGGCCTGTGTGTCTGTGGTAGAATTGTAGAACGAAACTCACGGGTCTAACCTCAAAGTGGTACAAGGATATTGTCTTAATGATTTTATTAAGAATTTATTTTGATTTAGTTAGTGACATCTTCTTAACTAGCATCAAAGAACACTGAAAAGAATACTAAACACCCACATGTATATTTAATCCTACTAATTTATTTCGAAAGACATGTATCCTAGAGCAAGTTTTATAATTCATAATTATGAAGATTTCCCTAAGTAACAGTTTTTTCTATGTATATGGTTTATAATATCTGAATTTTCCCCATAATATTTTCCCTGCAGCCAGCCTCTTGATTTCTTTTAAGAAGAAATTATAAAATAACTTGTCTGTCTGTCAGGTATCAAATGCCAATGAAGGAAGTGAAGCAGAAAGCTTCCTCACACTCTAGATGCTCTGTGATTAGAATACTCATGAGCACCACTGTACAGTCTGTTCATTATCTGTAAATTCATACTGACAGGAAAAGTTACAATCTTTTAAATGAGGGCACTCACAAATTGATCAGAAGTCCTTTTTTAATGGCCCTCTACTATTAGAGCAATCATTTACAAACTACCACAAAAATGGTGTCACTACACTAAGGTCACAATTTACAAGAATTTGTCAGCATTTTCCTTGTCTTTGAGATTAGTCCTTGCATTGGACATTAACCAGCATGAAACACTGGTTAACTGCTAGCTTGCTACTTTAAAGTAAGTAGCTGAAAGAATATAAATCCTCATTCTTTAATATACTTTAAAGTAGCTGAAAGAATATAAATCCTCATTCTTTAATATATGTGTATAACATTCAGTATTGCAGCCTTAAGAAAAGTTACATCAGTACATGTTAAAGACGTAAACACATTCTCATGTTTTGGAGAAAAGTATTTCAGAGATAATAATTTCACACAAACTAAGTTAAACTGATATGTAAGAATAAAACACAGTTATCTAAGGCCACATGGAATCTCACTGACATTTAGGTACACTAATGGATGCTCTGAAGTACTTGGAATCACATTATTAAATTTCCTACATACAAGGGCTACGTATGTACTGGCATGATTTTCCGAAAATGCTTTTAATGGAAAAGTTTTCCGTTAAAAGCATTTTTGGAAAAATCGCTTCTAGATTGGCAGGACGCTTTTCCGCAAAAAAGCCCCCATCGCCATTTTCACGATCGGGGCTTTTTTGCGGAAAACAGTAATGTGCTGTTTATACTGGCCCCCTTGCACAAATGATTTGCGCAAGAGGGCTTCTGCCTGAACGGGAGCAGCACAGTAGTTCTGCAAGAACACTGATGATCTTACATGAGATCGTCAGTGTTCTTGCGGAAATTCAAACAGCCAGTGTAGACAGCTGGCAAGTTTTTCCGCAAAATCATCTGCGATGTATAAATTGGTTCTAATTGTGACTACAACCAAATTCACCAATCGCTGAGGTCCTTACTCAGTTTACAGAGTTCTTTTACTCAGTATTTTAACAGCTTTTCTGTGAGGGCTTGATGTAGAAGTTGAAGTAAGACTTGATTCATATAACAATCTTTGGGGTATACTATCAAATGGCTGAAAGACTCTTAAAATTAATTAAAGTAACCCAATATCCTGGGAAGACTTAGAGGAATCCCTACATGCTGACGTGTTTTCAAGCATAGAGTCTTTTGAGGTACCCATTTCCATCTCAGGAAAATTAAAAATGGAAGGGTCATCAGGAAGATCAGCTGTGGAAGACAATAACTTCATGTGGCCTCTAAGAAGTAAACCTTAAACAATTTTCCTTGGCAACACACATGCTACTAAAATATGAAGTACTTCCCTGAGTTGGAATAGACGTGTTAATTCATCAATGAGAGATGGGTACAGCTTCAAAGCAATGGATTTGGCCATCCTCATCAACCCTGCAATGCCTCGAGAAACCATTCAATAGAGTTAAAAAGTTTAACAACAAATAGAAAAGCCTACACATTATTACCAATACCTATTGAAAATTATTGAGAATAAAAAAATGAATTAACTACCATGATCTTGATCAGGAGCTTCAAGGTTGTAACCATAGCCAAGAAGGGTGCGGACAGCCTCCCGGAGGCTATCTTTGTTTGACTTCTTGGTACGATCATCCAGAAGGGCATAGGGGACAAGGCGGGGGTTTCGTCGATTCTTCACATCCTACAGAAGGATAAGTTACTATAAATCTATGAAATTTCAGAGAAACCAAGTTAAAATTAAACGTTTTTTCTCATAAAAATTGCAAAGACAGTGGCATCAATTAAAAAAATTGCAAAAAGTGAAGTGAAGACTTGCAAAAAACAATACATACAACAAGCATCTTGCAGAAGAAACAGAAGTTCTTGAAATTGATACAAACACTGAATTCAAAAGAATCAATTTATTCACAAACATTGCCATTCAATGGTATGGCTTGATTTTTTTTTCATTTCCAACAAATAATATAATAGAAATATGTCCAAGCAACACCAAGTGTGAAAATCAAGAACAGAAAAGCATTGTTTACAATCTAAGTTTTTGTACTCTCTTTGGAATGGAGATCATGTTTTTCTTCTGTTTGTACAGCAGCTAGCTCAAGGATGATCTAGTTCATGACTAGAACTCCTAGGGGGCCAACATGATATAAATAACAATAGTGCCAATCTTGCACTACTCAAAGACAGTGGCTGGTTTGCCTCTTATTAGCATGGGAGCAGGATCAGCCCCAAGACTCTTATTCTTATGATGAAGAACAAAAGTGCCACAACTCCAAAATTGAAAATAAAGGCTGCTTCTAATGTGAAGTACTCAAGACATATATGTTTGGGAAAGAAAGTATTGGATTTTACATGTCTAGCAAGAATCCATATGTAAACTCCATGAGTGTGCTTTCTACTGTGAAATTTTGTTAGCATAACATAAGATAAACCAGTTCCCAGTGGAATGAAATTATTAAGTGAGTTAAAGTTTGTTTCTAACATAGAATTCATTTTTTCCTATGCTAATGACATTTTAATTGAAAATGTTGCTTATATGGTCTATTACAATACATTATGGCAGTGTTTGAGAGGATTATAATTTGTCTCTGCATTTTCACTTCCGGATTTAAAGTCTATTGGCAGTGGCAGAAGCAGTACAATAGATCTCTCTATATCCTTGCTAACTTTGTAGAGATTAATTTTTAACAAAACTAAAGGCCCATCTACTCTGCATCCAGACTAAGCCTCCCCTGCCTCTTGCAGCCTGGGGAGCCAGGCCAGGGTGCTGGGGGCTATCTTCTGGAAACACCACTGTATCAGTGACAAGTACCTGGAAATAGCCAGAACAGATGACCAAAAGAAATGCACACAAATAAGAACAATATGGGTCATCTAAGAGACTGTTACACCTCCCATTAGTAACAAAGGATTAGGCCAAACAAGCCTTTCACAACAGAAAATAAACAACAAGATGTATATGTGCATACACACATGCTATAGGTATGTGCTAACCATACAAAATGATAAATGATCCAGTAAGGGCCACATCATAAAGAAAAAGATGTGGTATGAGAAATGCCTCGTAAAAGGCAGTATGGGTATGTCTACACTACCACCCTAGTTCGAACTAGGGTGGTAGTGTAGACATACCCATACTGCCTTTTACGAGGCATTTCTCATACCACATCTTTTTCTTTATGATGTGGCCCTTACTGGATCATTTATCATTTTGTATGGTTAGCACATACCTATAGCATGTGTGTATGCACATATACATCTTGTTGTTTATTTTCTGTTGTGAAAGGCTTGTTTGGCCTAACTGTAGGTTGCCCAGAGCTGGTCTAACTAGTTACAGACATCTTCTCCCATCATTACAAAAGTATCTCACCACCATGTGAGGGAGAAGGACTTGAATATGAGTATCAAAGTAATTAATTAGCTTTTTGTGTCTGTTCAATGTCTGTGCCATAAATATACCACATTAATATTTGGAGGTCTTAGGGTTTGATATTTATCACACCAGATTTTCTTTATCGATAAACTAAATAAAAATATGATTTTTTTCAAGGTAATTGCAAATGGTATTCTCATTAAGCCTTGCCAAAGTTGTAGCTAATTCTGTTGAAAAGTGTGTCATATGTATTCACCTCCAAAAATAAATCCTATTCCTAAATTCTACTTCAGAGGTTGAATTTTGCTTTTGGGGGTATATGCACATGTGTTTTTCGCTCACTATTGATATTCATAACCTTTCCATAAGATTAAAAATATATTTTCCTATTTGTTTTGTCCTTTTCCATTTCGTAAACACTCATCTGTGCCTCCTGCATTATTTATGAAGCACAAGGTAATGTGCTTCTGACTTATTTACAGTACTTCTTACTTGTTTGTGATCAGTGTCAGGATTGATGTCAGCACAGTTCTGGGAACAGGATTTATTAAATTACTTGTGCTCCCTCTGCCGACTGTGGTTGGCTCTGCAACAGCGCATCAAAAATACTGTACATACACATGCACAAAGAGAGGCTATCATTCGTTAAAAAATTCCTTATAAACAGTGGTGAAGTGAGAAGATATGTAGACTCTGAACGGCACTTCTCCACCAGCTTAAAATAATAAAAATGCTTTTATTTGGAACCTAAACTGCTTGACAGTATGCCTTTAATTTGTGGCAGTTTTAGAATCTCAGAATTTTAGAAATTAGAGATACAAAAGACCTAGTGTGTCATTTAATTAATCTCACAGCATATTTTTTCACTATAGTATTCACACTAAAGATTTGTTCAATCAATTTTCAAATCTCTCTAAGGAATGAGGTTTCCTTTTGCTGGCAGACTATTCTACAAATCTCTTTAGATCTCACAGTGCACAGTACTATGTGGCATAACATATTACCTTACGCATTTTTGTAACATTACAGTAACATGATGAGATGACAAAATGTAGCTCATGGTAAAACACAGTGTGGAAGCTAAGCAGAAGCATATACTACCATAGAAGGTAGTAGGTAGCAGCCATGCTATGTATATGACAGAATTAAATGTCAAAGTTTTGGTTTTGTTCCAATCTCAAACAAAAACGATTTTTTGAAACCTCAAGAGCTGTTGCAAAATGAAATGGTCATTTTCTAGATGGGTCTACTTCTGAGGTATTACTGCCATACCATATTTATTCTCTCTCAAGTGCAGCCCTTCATACCAATACACACAGACACAAACAGAGACACCCTGGACAAATGAATAATATGATGAATGTAGAGAAACAGTAGCCATACATCAACCCTGCTCTTTCCTCTCCTCTCCTACCCAACTCTGTGACATTTAAAAAAAAATCAGCTGGCCTCACTCAGCTGTCTTTATAACTAGGCATCTCACTAATTGAAAGAACATATCATTTGGTTGCAAAGTTCATTGTAATAAGGTTGACAAAATTAGTCATTCTACAGTATTCAGATACATAAAGGTACACTGATCTCAAGTCCTAACAAACCTCAACCTTTACAACTAATTCACCTTGGAATATGGGTCTATATTTTGCTAATACATCACATGTTCAACCAAGGTGTTAATTAGCAAAAAAACAAATTTTAGATCTATTTTATTCTTAACTTGCTATTAACTGGTTTGTTGTATATGCATTATGACATTTGATTTGAGGCATCTCAAAGATACCAATGATTCTACGAAATTACAAGCATACACCCATTTTTTACTGCCTTGAAACTAACTCAGTTTCAAGGCCCTGCACTGCAACCATTTGGCTTCTGGCAGACAACAAAATTATGGGATGCAGACTTTTAATTTGCTAGTGATGTTGCAGTTGAATATTAATAGACAGTCCTTCATTCTGGACTATGAATCCACTGCCTTCATAAAAACAATGCGTGAAATTGTGTATAGAAAATATATGTGCCTGCTTCTCTCACATGGCAATGTAGGGAAGTGCTATTCCCATAGTCTATTAGTCCAGCTCTCTATTAAACATAAAGACACTTTAAAATATCTGGGTTAATACTACATCTGTAAACGTAAAGTAAGGGCATGTTCAGCCCAATTGTACACAATGGAATTTCACCAATTTTGAACATGGCCCTGAATATCTGTACAAAATATATTAGAGCCCATATTAAAATTACTTAAAAACAGCCTAATATAAACAAATACAAATGTTATTAAATCTAAGACGGGTAGCTGTGTTAATCTGTGACTTTAAAAACAACCAATAGTCCTGTGGCACATCAGAAACTAACAAAAATATATACAGAATCATGAGCTTTTGTGGGCTAATCCACTTCCTCGAATGAGCAAATAGTTCACAAGCAAAACATAATCCAAAATATGGAAAACAGGTTTATAAAACGGTTTGCAAGATACATTCACTGAAGGTGCTGGAAATGATAGGTGGCATATTTCTTCAATATAAACAGTCTATGAAATGTGACAAATGAAATTTAGTGATTAAAAAACTGTAAAAACATCAGAGTGTTTGCTGATAGAATACTGCTCAAAGTCTTAGTTTTGTTATTACGGGTTGTACCTCCCTTAACCGGGGCACACTGGTCTGGCAACATCCGTGGTGCGGCAGGACTATGGATGTTCCTGGAACACAGAAGCCAGGTATAGGGAATTTTGGCCGTGGGGCAGGAGCATGGCGGAGCGAACGGTGACTCAGCTGAGAACCCCGTGTTGCGAGGGTGGGGCGGCACAGCAGGGAATTCTGGCCCCAGTGGACGGACAATAGCAGTGGGACGGCAGTGGTCCCGGAGATCCGGCTCCAGTAGCCAGACAGTAGCAGGGGGCTGACTCCAGCCACGGAGCTCCAGCCCTGGTGGTGGCAGGATCAGCCGCAGCTAGAGAGCTCCAGCCTGGGTAGTCAGGGCTGGCCAGGCAGCAGTGGGGCCACTGGAGCCCTAGCTGTGGGGGCAGTGGTTCGCCATGGGCCATGAGGAGAGGGACCTCTCCTGGTCTGGCTAGTCCCCTTATTCAGGGCTGGTCAGGTCCAGAGTGTACGAGACCAGGGAGGTCCAGCCTGTACACGTCAAATTAAATTCAAGATGTACTGGGCTGCACCGTATAACTTGAATTCTTGAAAAAACCCAAATGGAGAGTTTGTAGACAGAAAATGCTTCTGTTTTGAAAATGTCTTTTCCCACAGTGCAAATCCATGAAAACTCAAACATTTCTATCATTTCTACGTGAAATGCTACCCCACATTCTTTGGCAAAAGTTCCTAGTTTGAATTCACAAATAATCACTAATGGATTGGTGGATTATGGTCCACAATAAAAATATTCCTACAGTGGTTGTCTTGAAAATGTTAATAATTACCACAATGGATTACATTGTACATGCATAGGACTTTAATATTTATTTATCGTTGTAAAAAACAGTTAAAGAGCCTGACTTTTGCTACTGACAACTCACTTTATATTTTACTAGCTCCTGACACACAAAACAAAAACTGATCACCAGAAGTGGCACGAATTGGAACCCCATTTGCTAACCTCAGTAAAGGAACAAAAATGTGTATGGGCCATGGAGACTGTATTACCCTCCCTTAGCACTGATCTCCTAAACCAGAGATAATGCTTATTATAAGGTAATTAGTAGACGTTTATACAGTTGTACCTGTGCTTTCTCTTTTCAATGGACAAAGAGAAAAACTGAGTTTCCACTGTGAGGTATGTAAATTATTTCACTACTGTAAATCATTGCACAACTTTCCTGAAGAGCTCAGAGGAAAATATTTCAGAGGCACAGGGAAGCCCACGACTTCATCTGTAAGCTTTAGAGAGCACACAAAGAAATATGACCCTTCCCCCAAGCAGCTGTCTAGAACATGCAAAGAGACACCATAAATAGAGAAATGTCCTCTAACGTCATATCCCAAACTCAATTGTACCCTCTACATGTGGCTGAACTTTCAAGTGTCCAAGTTTGCTCTTACCTGCTGGATACCGTATGTCCAACCCTGTCTGATACGGTCCCTTGCCCACACATTGTGAGCATTCTCTGCTAGTTTATCCACCATGGCTTCTTGAGAAGGTGTCAGCTTGATAAAGCTCAGATCCATAGGAGCGGGCTTGTATCCACATGATAACTGGTAACTGTCAAACAATGCAGAATTTGTAATTGGTCATTTAAAAAAAATCACATTTCATTGAGAATAATACTAATAGATAGTACACAGGAAAACTAGGGCACCAATTGATAAAACCACATAAATAAAAATATAAATAATAATCCAGCCAAGAATCTAGGTTATAAGAATATTGGATGGAAATAATGCACAGAAATTAACTTTGGTTTCTAGTTAACTACATCTACTGTGAATGAAAAACTCCATATCATTAGATAGTAACATAAATTATTAGGTGCGGAAGTGACTGAAAGTTACCCAATTGCACAAAAAACTATAATATATACATTGTTACATTTCTTTACATGCTTAAAGCAGTGTAGAGATTAAAGCAGATAGCTATAATACATGCCCTCCCTGCCCATCAAGTATCTAATACCTAAGCACCTCACAATTCTGAATAGACTTTCTCTACACCTGAGAGATAAGAAAGGACTATCCTTATTTAACAGATGAAGAACTGAAGCACAGTGTAGATTAAGTGGCTTCTCCAAAGTCACACAGGAGTCTATAGCTGAGTATGGAACTGAACTCAGAACTCTACTACCCCACTATATTATCTCAGGCACTTCCTATCATGAATAGGAAGCACCATAAGCAGAGCTCTGAAAACATAATATAGAAAACCTTGAAGGGTTATGCGTTACTTATTTTATTTTTCCCCAATAGAATATTTCTATGCATTTCCCACCCTGCCAATGTTTGCCTAAATGAGGCAGGATTCCAAAAGTATTCAAAGTAGTATTGTGAGGCCCATGCTCAAGAAACCAATGGTTGATGTTGACAACCTGGCTAATGATCCATTACACTGCTCTACAGCCAAAAGGCTTCTGAAATAAATGTAGTCAAACTTTACTAATTCTGGGTCACTGAGAACGAAAATGATGCTTAAAATTGTTGATTGGCTCTAGTTTTCAGGATATGCTATTGGGTCAGTATATACGACCCTTGACTTGGGAATGGCGGAGGATAAGTGAGTTATAAAGGAAAGGGATCTCAATTTAAACCAGAAATGACTAAAATACATCTTTGACTGGATCTATGAATAAATCTATGACTGGGTTTGGACAGTACTTGCTTTTTAGGCCAAACAATGCATGATGCAATCTGAAGCTGGTATTGTGTCATACATGATATGAATTGCATCATGTTATTCCTAGAAGTCATGGATGATGCAATCATAACGAAGCTTACATCACTCTGCTGAACAAATTGCCCTATATCAGCTCTAGAAATCATACAATGTCGTGTTCTCTTGTCAGTGTTTGATTTTGCAAAGGGACACATTTCTGTTTAGCCAAAGATGCCTCGTACTTGTGTGAACAGTGCAGATAACTTCTGCTATGTTTGTGGTGAAGTGACTTTTGCATCACAAAAGCGCAGTATAACCACTATATGGCTGCAAAATTGGAGATCATAACCTTCATTGGAGATCTATAACCTTCATTGTGTCTGCAAAATTGGAGATCAGGACAAGAGGTGGGCCCCACACATATGCTGCAACACTTGTGCAACAAATATTCACCAGTGGTTGAACAGGAAAAGGAAACTTTGTCAAGGCCATGGACAAAACACAAGCAGCTTTCAAGTACCTCCGTGGAAAATTTCCAAGGTTAAGTGAAGCTAAGATAAAGGAAGGTGTCTTTGTTGGTCCTCAGATTCGTGAACTTCTTCAAGATGATGCATTTGACCATGCACTGCGTGGCAAGGAAAAGACGGCATGGAAAGCCTTCCAGTTAGTGGCAATAAATTTTCTCGGAAACAACAAGGCAGACAACTACAGGTTGTTGGTGGAAAACCTCCTCAAGGCATACAAAAGCCTTGGTTACAACATGTCACTAAAGATACATTTTTTGCACTCTCATCTAGATTTTTTTCTACCGAACTGCAGAGCAGTGAGCGACGAGCACGGTAAGCGATTTTACCAGGACATTGCAACAATGGAGAAACGCTATCGGGGCAAATGGAGTCCATCAATGCTTGCAGACTATTGCTGGACAGTGACAAGAGATGCTCCATTTAATAAATACAAGAGACAAGCCAAGAAGCGCCGAGTAGACACTTAATAGGACTAAACTATGTATATAATAATTTTTTGCATTTTGTTTCATAATAAATTTTATTTATATAACCCTTTTGTTGATTTTTAAAGTGTTACATAAACAGGCCAGGTGAAATATTATCATGTTAAGCAACCATAAACACATGAAAAGACCTAGGTTTACAATTTATGATTAAAATTCTACTATCTACACAATATACAAAGACGTAAAATGTAAAAACTTAAATATCTTGGAAACAGTAGCCAATCAGTTGTTTTAATTGTCATATTTGAATTCAGCACATCAAAATACATAATAAATAGCACATTTTATCTCTGAAACAGATGACTTCTAAAAAATTAGAGAAAATCATTGAAGTACTATGACATACAAAACGAAAAGTTTCTTGATATTTACTTGACCCTGGTCAATCTGGATATAAGGCTTGAGAAGCAGTAAAAATACTATTGATTTTATTAGCTGATGAGCTCTTCGTAGCAATGGTCAGTGAAATCACAAACTGTTGAAGACACTCTGTATTTCACTGGACTGAAGTATCTACCTTACGTAAACAAAACACTAGTGATGAAAAAAATCACGAATAAAAAAATAAATAATTAATCTATTAAACAATGAAGACCAATTGCTAGTCTGAGGGGAAAAAATAATGTGTATTTGTGGTAAAAGAATAAAGGCAGAAGAAATTATTTGTCCCCACTACTGGATCAGTATCAAAAAAGAAGTTTATGGTAGATTTGGTAATAGAATCCAGAGCTTATCACTCTTAGTCCTGTGTCTTTACCGTGTTTGGACCAGAAACAGCTACTACCCGCTATGGTGAGAACTGCATGGTTGGCCTCTCCTGTAAATTATCACAAAATGAGTTATATTCACTCATTTTATCTTCCTTAAAAACCTTTAAATGTAATTTTTGATAGCTAAGTAGAAGAGGCAATAGAGCATGTATATAATTTAAATTATATAGTCATCAGACCTTCAAAAGGCTAAAGAAAACACCACCACAAATTTGTTTTAATCTTCAGTTCACGTCTGCTGATACAGCACAATATTTTGTTTTTCAATGGCAATTATTCCACAAAGTTTTTACCGTGTCCTCAATGTCAAAAAAATGCTTCAAAGCCTTAATAAAGCATCATGCAAAACATTGTAATAATACTAGGAAAGTCTCTCTCAGTTATTTTGGAACTGTTGACTTCAAAAAGAAGTGAATCACCTTTTTAAAATAAATCAGGCTATATTAAATTGGAATACAGCTATGCTGATGGCTAGAGGACAGTCACTTACCCAAGGTTACTGCTTTTTTAAAAAAAATCCTGCCATTTAACTCATAGCTCTTTAGACCTGCCAAAAGATATAAAAGGGCTGAAATGTCTGAGTCTTCATTCTACATTTTTATTTCATGTTAATATTCTCATTGGTGAACTGGCTATGAATGTATCAGCAGTCACTCGTTCTCCACAATATGGCTACCTGCAGGTCATTCCACCAGTAGGAGGTAACCCATTCAATAAGATGCAGCACAGCAGAACTAGACCAGAGTATCATTTTGTTAAGACCTTCTTTCATAGGGAGTCTGTTAAACTGAACAGCCAGTTAAACAGAGGAAAAAAAGGACTGATGAAGAGATAAGGAGGGAGGGGGCATTGGTGGTGTGTTGGTTTTTTGATTCTTTGCTTTTTGTTGTTGATTTGTTTTTGCTATGAATGCAGATAAAACATGCACCATTTTGATCACAAAGGTATGTTTTTCTGTTAGAAAAAACATTTCTGCTTTCACAGAAATTACATTAAAGATCTGACAGGATAAAATAATTAAAATATTGAATTCAGACAGCTTGCCTAATATTGGTATTTTCTTGTATTTCCCTTGTCTAGAAAGCGAGAACACAATATGAATGTACCTTTTTTTATCCTAAAGTGCTCTGAAAATATTAATTAAATCTCACCATATCCTTCTGAGATACCTACTTCATAATTCACTTAAGTAAACAATTGAGTATTATAAAGGAAAGAAGCCCACAATTTTACAAAGAGACTCCTAAGCCAAGATATTAACAGTTATTTAAAAAAAAAACAGCTTCTTGTTCAATTTACTGACCACAATCTGTAGCTACTTTTATAAACTGTGCTTGTAAAATGATGTAAAGCAATAGCTTGGAACTCAAATGTCTTAAATTTTGCAACTTTACTACTTTAATGTTGCATTAACACTAATCTATTTTCCCCTCCACCTTCCATTTTTGAGCCTCCTTTACTTTTGCTGTCTGAAGTCTTATTTTTTCAGACTTCTTTCCTCTGAGCTCCTGTTTGATGCTGGAATATCAATTACAGAACCCTTTGAAAACAGAGGCTTGTAATGAAGACATCACACATTCTGAACAAGTTTATAGAAGACATAAATAGTATCATGATGATAGTAAAAAAAAAATGCAAAATGTCCTAATCAGTTTTCTGTCCAACTATAAATATACTCTTTTAATAACCTAGCAGCAGCTCATTCTCCACAGTTACCAAAATGGAATTATTTAGTTAATTATCTTTGTCTGGCAACTGTAGCAATCATATCTAAATCACTGGCTTCTGTCAATCAATTTGTATTCATGAGATCAATTTGTAGATTCACATTTAATTGTTCTACACACAGATCAGCTTCTCAGCTTGAGAAGAGATGCTACAGAGCATTTTAAAATTCCTGTTTGGGGGGGAATTCCCAATCAGATTATACAACATTAACATGGAAAATTTTATACTAGAAATAAAAAAATCAAGTCACTCTAAGTAACTGACTTCTGAAATGCAGAGAAATTGTGGTTCTTGTATCTGTGTTAACAAAAAAAAAAGTGAAAATCAGGAGCATGTCCAAAATCTCTGATAAATATACTAATTTTTTAAAAGTAAATTTGATT